CATGAAGTTTGAGTTTGATCGGCCCAAGGAAACTAAGTTATCGCACGAAAACACATTTTCTATTTATAGTAACAGTGACCTTGACCTTTGACCTTCGGACCTGAAAAGCACTTTTGGTAAGGAAGCAATGCATGTGTTACGAGACATCTTTGTTAAGAGACCACTTGTGATGTCCCAGTAGTGATTTGTTTTTTAAGCCTGTGTTAAGAGACCACCTTTGTTAAGGAAATAGGTTTGTGTCGCCATTTCTCAGTAGAATTTATTCAAATTTTGTAGTCATATTGCTTTGAAGTAAAGAAAACTTTCTGCCACAAAAAAAATATAGGTTGTCAGAATTTTGGGGATTTTAATTGGAAATGTAAAAAGGGGTGAATTTTGAAAAAAAATTGAAACACAATTTTTTTGCAAAATTATGTCAATAAAAATGATACCAACAATAGATTAGTATGGCATTAATGTATATCAATTTCATAAATGCTGAAATTGCGTAAAATTAATTATCTATAAACGATTAAAAATTGATATTTTATAATAAAACCATATAAACATAGTAATTGCATGCAAGAGTTATCGTTCTTGAAAAACTTCACAGTAGTGAAATAGGTAGCCGGTTTCCTGAAGTACAGAAAAATGGACACATGTGACTCATTGATTAAAAAACAACTGAATTAATGCCTGGATTGCTTTGTAATACTTTAATATTGAAAGAACACACTGTTCTGTCAATAATAAGCATACACTATTCATCAGTTTAATATTAAACATTAGAATATGCAGAAATTGGTGATACTGTCTCCCTACATTGGATTTTCAACTAGGGATGTACTTCCTATTTCCGTTTAGAAATACACTCCTATGACCTTAAGAGACCACTTGTAATGTCACCCCAAGTGATTTGTTTTTTAAGCCTGTGTTAAGAGACCACTTGTGATTTGTTTTTTAAGCCTGTGTTACGAGACCACCTGTGTTAAGAGACCACTTGTAATGTCACCCGTAGTGATTTGTTTTTTAAGCATGTGTTAAGAGACCACTTGTAATGTCACCAGTAGTGACTTGTTTTTTAAGCCTGTGTTAAGAGACCACTTTTAATGTCACCAGTAGTGACTTGTTTTTAAGCCAGTGTTAAGAGACCACCTGTTTTGAGAGACCACTTGTAATGTCACCAGTAGTGACTTGTTTTTTAAGCCTGTGTTAAGAGACCACCTTTGTTAAGAGACCACTTGTAATGTCACCCGTAGTGATTTGTTTTTTAAGCCTGTGTTAAGAGACCACCTGTTTTGAGAGATCACTTGTAATGTCACCAGTAGTGACTTGTTTTTTAAGCCTGTGTTAAAAACCCACCTGTGTTGAGAGACCACTTGTAATGTCACCAGTAGTGACTTGTTTTTTAAGCCTGTGTTAAGAGACCACCTGTGTTGAGAGACCACTTTTAATGTCACCAGTAGTGACTTGTTTTTTAAGCCTGTGTTAAAAACCCACCTGTGTTGAGAGACCACTTGTAATGTCACCAGTAGTGACTTGTTTTTGAAGCCTGTGTTAAGAGACCACTTTTAATGTCACCAGTAGTGACTTGTTTTTTAAGCCTGTGTTAAGAGACCACCTGTGTTGAGAGACCACTTGTGATGTCCCAGTAGTGATTTGTTTTTTAAGCCAGTGTTACGAGACCACCATTGTTAAGAGACCACTTGTGATGTCCCAGTAGTGATTTGTTTTTTAAGCCTGTGTTACGAGACCACCTGTGTTGAGACCACTTTTAATGTCACCCGTAGTGACTTGTTTTTAAGCCTGTGTTAAGAGACCACCTGTGTTGAGAGACCACTTTTAATGTCACCCATAGTGACTTGATTTTTAAGCCTGTGTTAAGAGACCACTTTTTATGTCACCCATAGTGACTTGTTTTTTAAGCCTGTGTTAAGAGACCACCTGTGTTGAGAGACCACTTGTGATTTGTTTTTTAAGCCTGTGTTACGAGACCAGCTGTGTTGAGAGATCACTTTTAATGTCACCCGTAGTGACTTGTTTTTTAAGCCTGTGTTAAGAGACCACTCCCTGGACTTCCCATGGGGATATTTTAATACAGGTTTGACTGTATCTGTATTTGTTTTTATTTTTGTTAAATGTTGCTTCGATCAAGTCAAGTGTGGTATAACAGCCATGCTCATACTGTGACATTACACAACGGTGAATCTGATTTTAAGCAGTGCACAAATCTGCTCCAAATCAATCATTTCTGATATATAAATCTGACTAATTTGTATTGATATAACTATTGAATTGGGACATGATTATTCATTTATAAAATATTTTCTTGAAAGAAAACAAAACAAATACAATGTATCAGTTAATTCTAGATTTTATTTCATATTTTATATCTTAATAAGTAATCTTTGATGCTAGAATGATAATTTCTATTTTCTGACCAGACAACACTCTGGAGTGTTAACAGTTAGGCATTAAGTAAACACTAACACAAGCATACTTGTGCAAGCACCAATGGAAAATAAAAAGGTTGAAAAATCATTTTGATACACAGCATATTACTGTAAATATTTATGCTTTTTCCAATTTTTTCTGCAAGATTATTTTTTCCCCATCAAAATTTCGACATTTTGGCAGGATTTTAGGAGAATGAGTTAGTCAATTCAGAGATTGTCAATTTTTTGGAAAGTCAAATTGACATGCAATTACAATGGTATGAATGAAACATCTAGATCCTGGAAATGTTTTGCTGATGTGAACAGTGTACCTACATTGTTAGTGCTATCACCACTGATTAACATAACTAACTTCTGCTATGGAAAACTCCAATTTCAAACATGACATTTTAAATGCTACCCTACCCAATCATCATAACATGGACATGAACATGTAATAATCTAGCCACCTTTTTTCTCACTGGATAGGATAATCTAGCCACCTTTGTTCTCAGTGGATAGGCTAATCTAGCCACCTTTGTTCTCAGTGGATAGGCTAATCTAGCCACCTTTGTTCTCAGTGGATAGGCTAATCTAGCCACCTTTGTTCTCAGTGGATAGGATAATCTAGCCACCTTTGTTCTCAGTGGATAGGATAATCTAGACACCTTTGTTCTCAGTGGATAGGCTAATCTAGCCACCTTTGTTCTCAGTGGATAGGCTAATCTAGCCACCTTTGTTCTCAGTGGATAGGATAATCTAGACACCTTTGTTCTCAGTGGATAGGATAATCTAGACACCTTTGTTCTCGGTGGATAGGATAATCTAGCCACCTTCACTCCCTGCTCCCACAAAAGTTTGGCTACATTGTGAGACAACCCCATTACTGGTGGCTCAACTCAAATTACAAACAGGCATCAGCTGCAAAATCACTTCTAGTTACATTAACAAAAAGTACTGTAACAATATTATGCAGGTTTTTATCAACAAACATATCAAACGAAATGAAACTGAGATTTCTCGCACAAAGTTTGGTTTCCTTGGTTTCCAGGTGGTCCTTATCTGGCTTTGTTTGTAGATGGAGCCATCTCTTCACCAGCTTCACTGTGTTTTGTTTACAACTTTAAGAAATACACAATCCATTCACACTTTTTATCACAATGATATTGACAGAGATTCCACCACTCACAGATCTCTCCATATTGTTATAACATCATCAGGCTTTTCGAATATTGATAAAAATATAATTAGCCATTAATCATTCTATTACATCATTGTAACTTGTACAGACAATTTATAATAAGAGAGAAAATAACATCTCAGATATGTGTTATACAGAGGTAATAATAATTTGTGATAGTTTTTTTACTTGTATCTTTACTATGTAAATAATGTATGACCTACTTATAATTTGTTTTGGAACACAGATACGTTATGTCTTGTTTTATTTCTATGACAAGTTCTTTTAATTAAGAAACATGTTGGCCTGTGTAATAAATAGAAAATAATTGTGTTCTTGCATAGTTCCAGTTATATTTCAACTCTTGAAATTATACATGCTTCACAATTCTGACAAACATCCAAGTGTTAATGCTACTACTCAATGAAAACTAACGGGTGATTATTTAACCCAGAATGTTGTTACTAAATACTTCCATATTTATAATAAACTGTCTAGAATTTATTTCAAAATGTAACAACACAGAAAACAGTGTCGATAAATACCTTGGGTCAAACAAACACCTCACTTACACTTGCACATAAGAGTCACACATATGCCAATTCATTTGAAATGGCACATGTAGGTAACACACCTGCATTAAATTCACTGACACACACACACACACACACACACACACACACACACACACACATGAGTGTCACATATGCTTTACTTACATACATTGAAACTCATGGGTGACACAGGGACATTACTTACACTGTATGTCTTACTTGCGAACACTGACTTACACTCACATGTACACTACTGACATACCAATGGGTGATGAGCATACTGTTAGGATCCCTGTTGGATTTACCGATTATACACTGAATTTACCTGTATCACACAAAATTTGCATAACTATTAAAAACAATGCCTTTTCTTCTATAAATATAGCAAGTTAGCATTGAAGTTAAGGAAATTATATTTATTCATAATTAAACATAACATTTTGATTGAACTGGGTCACTTTAAACATTAACTTCCAAAACATAAACAAAACATACTATCACAGAATATTGGATCAATGTTAGGCCTGTATATACTGATAAATAAAATTATCACAAAAATCAGTATTTGTTTTAAGGGATATAATTTATATCGACCATTTGTACAATGTTTGTTCTGAGATGTAAGTCAAACTGTATCATAGTTCTGTAAGACATAAATATTTAATATTCCTTTTTATCTGAATATTTTTTTTATCAGGACAACATATGTGTGTACATTACATATATATCATCGTATTATATCATAGCTGTCTCAACTGTAAGAATTTTCACATTTCCAACTGTCACAAATTGAAATATATAATGATGGTTTGAATTAATCACATTTGAAAACGTGTAAATTCTTAAAAACCAAAATAATAATTTTATCATTGAACAAAAATATACCAACAACGCTATAATTGTTCTATACTTTAGATAACAACATTAGTCAACAGATAAAAGAACTATATAAATGTACCCGAAAGAATTTCATAACATAATATTTACACATGATCCAACTTTTTTAAAGTTTCAATTTAACATGAAAAATACAAATAATATTACTCTGTTTTTGTTATACATCTTCAGCATGAACTCTATGTTTGACATAAAATATCAAAAACAATTATGAATTAATTACTGAATTGAAAAAATACTTGTGTGAAAAAAACATCAACATGCAGATAAATATTGTGGGCAACAAATAGAAATATCACATTTACCGGTAATATAAATATTACATAAAGTGTCACAACCAAGGTCAATAAATACTTTTAAACGAGAAACTCATCCAATTTTGTGACAATTTATGACCCATGTGAGAGGTATCAACAGTAGCTGGGTCATAGTTCATATGGTTTCAATGAAGATGAGGTAAATGGTTTCCATATCAATGAAGTTTATTTATGGCATCATGTACATATGCTAGGCACACTTATACATACAGTCAATCACATCCTTCCATGAATATTTGTGTGATATCACCATAATTGTAATTAGTTCACTATATATAATATAAATGAACACATAGGTGACTGAACAGTCAGAAGATCAAAGGTCAGTCAAAGGTCAAGGCCACTAAGAGATCATCTACAAACGGCATGATGAGATAATTGCATGTCCAGTATGTATTGCACAGTGTCAGGGAAGCTTGTTAGTGGAATCCTACCCCTGTAACACGGGTGGGGTACACCCTCAGTCTCCAGTCACAAGTAGTTTTGATCCTAGTGAGGGAAATATTTAACATTGTACTTCTATTGGGCAATTTCACTGAAATCCTTAGAGGTCTAGTGAAGGAGATGATTAGTCCGCCAACGTTTGTAATGCTTTAACCACTTCCATATTTATCCATTCAGAATGTGCTTTCAGCAGTACAGCAAGTTACATAACAAGAAGTCCAGTGCTCTCCACACAAGTTGTCTGCCCTTGGTGTTATCTCTTGTTATTCTTGGCCTGATTTATCCTGTAATCAGACAGATGAGAAATGTAAACAATGTTCACATACAGTACAATTTATATTAAACAAAAATCATCATCATCATCATTGTTTTTATAACTTATCATGATCAGTGTTTTTAAAATCAAGTAGCCATATGATTGTAAATTGATATATAAACTTACACAATAAGCAACCAGCTTTTATTCTTAAAACCAAACATGTTAAAATTACCAGGTATATTTCGTATTACAGACAAATTTGCAAGGTATCATTTTACTTTTTATTATGAAGTATGAATTTTATGTGAAATTCTTGTACATATTATGAAATTGAAAAAGGAATGCATAAATTAAGTACGGTAACTTTAAAACACATACTTAGTAATATTTACAGACAGTGGATGTTACAAGAGTTAGGGACACAACTATCTTATCACAAATTAAAACAATGTTTCTGCCAACAACACAAACGAGGATGCACAGCATTCAAATATCTTATTTACATTCTTAATTATAAACACATTTAATTATTTTTTACACTTAAGCAAACGCATTACACATTTTGTTAAATAACATCTATATGCTTCTCTGAAAAAACATAAATGTGCAGCCAAATGTACTTACACCACGAGGAGTGTCAATATTGTGTCTAAACAGTTCATACTAATTGAATACCAGGGGAAAAGGTGTATAATAACTTCAAAAGATACCACTACCTTGGTGACCAAATCTATAGCTATACAAAGATGTGATATAACAGCTTAAGATAGATGTTTAACTAAAAGCCAGAGTCCGTGCAGTACTAGGCAGTATTTGTACATGAATTAGTGCACTAAGCTTGTGAAGGGTATACATAAGGTAGATCATGGCCAGTGAAATTCCAATAATATAATTATTTCTAAAGTCATGTTTTTTTTCTGTAGAAATAACGAAACCTATGTTTCCCCATGCAGTGCTCATTGTTTGCTCTCATTTACTGATCAGTGAATGAAATAAATGCTAAAAATAATACAGAAATAAAATCAAAATCTGGCCTTTTGTATTTCTTTGAATGAATAAGGAAACCTGGCAGGGTCAAAAGCAAAAATATTTAACATGGTTCCAATACTATAGATTAAAGATGACAATTTTGAGGTAAAATTACAAAAAAACAAAAACTGTAGAGATGAAAGAAGAAACTGTGCATTCAATATTACCAGGGTCCCAGCAACCTTTAGCTATAATACTCAATGAATTACCCAGCGATATTCTCTGGAACTTTGGATTAGTGAGTGGTAACATGTTAGTACAGGATACCTCGACATCCTCTGAGGGAGGCTATACTCTCTTCTACTAATTCAACATATTAACTGTAAATTATAATCTCAAATTTGCTTTTCAATGTTCTAATCATTTGTATTTATTTAATCAACATCAAAATGCTAACTAAACAAAATTGCCAAAAATGAAATATACTCAACTTTTTGTCTATAACACTGAACTAAGTAACATTTTTCTTACATAAAAAATTTGGAAGCTAATTCATATGAAACAATGTATAAGCACAGCTACAAGATGTCATTCTCGTTTCCTCCTCTTGTTTGTTGTTGTGTGTTAACCTCTTGGGTACAATACCATGTCTAGTCACCAACAGTCCTATTCATAGACGTCAACAGTCCCACACTGGAGTACCCAAAGAAAAAACATCAACCTACAGTCTGTACCTAGTGACTGCCCCTTGAAGGCCTCGAACCCGCAACCACTTGGCCACCATACATCGGCAGTCCCATTTAAACATACAACAGTCTCGTCTCATTACAGAGGTAAACACATATTTCAACGGAACTACAACTAAACTTTTACAAAATTTCTATACACTATGATTTTTTTTTTACAGAAAATTGCTATACTGAAGAAGTGTACAGCACTGGTTTGTTAAATGTGCCATCTTGCTTATCTGTAAGATTCTTATCAATATTAGAAGCATTAGCTATCAAGTGTATCAGTACACATGTCAGCTGATCAATAACATCCTCACAATCACTTAATTAAGACAAATCTACAAAGTGACAGTCATCAGAAAATTCACAAACTTCTTGAGATGTATATTGTTGATATACAATCCAGAACAACAGTCAAATATAGGTCAACAAGCAAGAGGAAGTCACAGACAATTGTTACCTGGAACTGGCTTCATTATTGTCAATTACAAACACTAAAATTTGTACAAGTATCATAACTAAGCAATTGGTCGTGAAAAATTTGCTGTTACCGATAAAAAAATGACATTTTTTAAACTTAACCTCATACTTTAATAGATGAATGTGTCATTGAAACTGTGATCATTTGATTTCAAACCAACACACAAAAAAGTGCCACTTCATTAAAAATCTTCAATTTATGAATGTAAATATGTCATTTTACTGTAATTAGCAGCGGACTGCATTCTTTTCAAACAAGTCAATGATTATGAATATGCAAATTAGCAGTGATATGAACATTCCCTCAGAAGATGCAGCAGGCAGTGGATATATACCTTGAAAACCACTCAACATACTCAGACTGTGTGGGTGGGTTGACATAGGGTATTTGATTGAGATAGAACTGCGGCCGGTTGCCAGCGTTTGTGGTGTAGGAGAAGCCACCGTAACCTTGACCCTGTTGCATGTTGACCACTGTGTTGCCTCGATTGAGACCAACACCATTACCGTTTTCTGACCCCTTGGTTGCCCGGCGACGACCACCTCCTACAAAACAACAAGAATCGTGCAGAAAACATTACATTTCAACAAAGTGCATACCATCTGTAGGATGCCCACTCTTATCTGAGTTTCCTTCAAGCTTCATTATTGTACTTAAAAAAGTTTCAGTAACATCAGAACTGTTATAAAAGTTGAAATTTATTAAATTTTACATAAAAAAAGGTGAATAGGTGGTAAAAAACTCTTTATTAATTTTGTCATATTTTCATAATCTGTTAAAATGTGATGCTACTGTGTGACTTCTAAATATAGAAATAAAACACATTAACAAAATTAAGTCTTAGCAAGAAAATGTTTCTCTTCATACAATTTTTCTCTCAAAAACATCCAAAATCCCAATTGTGTATAAAATAAAATGTGTGTGCAATATTTACAAAATATATTGTGATTTTTTTAAAAAAAAATTGTGAATAAAAATAGTAAAAAAAAATATTACAAAAATGTAAGAGATATACAAAAACACTCCTGAAAAGTGTCCCTCATACCAATATTTAAATAACAAAACAAGAGCTGTGTCAAAAGTGACCCACGATATGCCTGGGTCAGGTGCTCAATACATCCATGCTGACCCTGTGGTGACACCATAACCTTTGACCCCCTACAACTCCCTGTACTTCAACCACTCACTGTATCACAAACTGTACCAAATCTTACAGCAATCAATAAAAGCAAAATATTAAGACCTTACATACAGTCATGTTCAGACATTAGGATGAAAGTCAAGTAAGGCATATTTCACAAATACACAGGAATTGTGTGTGACATACCAGCATGAAAAACTTTGCTGTCCAACAAATACTTATCTGGATGACTCATCACAGCAGATTTATATAGGGAAAACATGTAAAGTCATGCAGCAGAGTTAGATCAATTCATCATCGTATTCACACAATGGTACTTACCAGTACTGACCACTAAAAACAAAATGTAAAAATGCAGCTATTTTTTATATTGTTCCCGGTAGGGAAAATTAGGAATAAACTTGAATGTGTTCATTTCAAATCTCTCTAAGAAATGAATTTCCATGTATACCAGATCATTCCAAATATTGCCCGGCAAAATATTGAATTAAGAGTGCAAAAAATATTCAGGGGCAAATACCAGTATATTACCAGGTATAGGTTTACCTTTTATTTGATGCTAAGTGGTATTTTATACCACTGGGAGGATATATAGAATAAGATTAAAACCTGTTCAGAAATGAGGCTGGTAGAGTTATGATAATGAATTGTGACAGGATGGGACAGACACACTGGTAGCGCTATATGCCCCCCCCC